AACCAGACCGCACCAGGATATAGGTCCTTCTATTAGGAATCGCGTTTTCGAAATCCAAGGAATTGTGGCACATTTAGAAAAAGGTGGTTATTCTGTGCAGGTTGGACATATACCAACGCAACTCAACCCAGCGGATTGCGCCATGAGAGGACTGGACGAAACGCGTTTCGAAGACCATTTTTGGTGGAGCGGTCCAGAGTTCCTTTCCTGCCCAAGGGAGAGCTGGACAGACGCCTACACACCAATCACTCTGGAAAACATAGGAGAGGGACAAGAACAGTCGGAAGAAGCCGAAGAAAGTCGAACGGAGAATTACGTATTGATGCATGCTAAGAAAGAACGTAGACCTCTTTCAAGACATTCGTTTCTCGAGCTTTCTTAGCATAGACGCGCAGTTGCATATGTTATGCGATTTATTAAAAAGATCGTAGATCGCGTAAACAAGAGGAGAAAATCTCCAATTAGACTTTCACCCATCTTCGAGCAAGAATCCATGGCTGAATCACGGATTATAAACGGTGGCTAAATGAAAATGGCCAGTAGGATGATAGTCAAACAGCATCAGCTTTCTCGTATAAATCATTTAATTCTAAAGACGCTGCATCATAAACCTCTACGCAGACGAGTACGGTATCATTGCTTTGCCGCGGGCGGCTAGGAAAGAGCGACCTAGAAGAGTCGGCAAAGTTCCCCATTTTAGTACTCCAAAGGTCACGGCTTTCGCAGAACATCATCACAGAATGCCATAGTAACCTTCAACTGAGTACAACCATACTATGTGCCGCGTACGAGAAAGTTACTGGATTAATCAACAGCGGGCGTAAGTGACAAAAATGATAAGTATGTGCATAAAATGTCAAAAAATGAACAATTTACAGTACAAGTATCCTGAAAACAGCCATTTGCCATCTCGCAGGGTCACTAGGTCGCGTCCATTTGCACACGTGGGTCTAGACTATTTTAGGATCCGTGGGACCTCTATCAGTAAAAAATGAAGACCAGGCTGATAAGTGTTACGGATGCATAATAACATGCCTTGTTACCAAACTGGTTCACCTGGATACGGTAGCGAACCTTTCGGCACTTGCGCTTCTTCAAATGCTGCGTCGATTTTCCCATAACGAGCGACAATTCTCCGACCTTCGCGTTAGGAGGTACGATTTTATCCGAGTGTATCAACAAGTCAAAAACGATTGAATATAGCGAAGGAATCAGTAACCGACACATTCAATGGGTTTACATTACACCCTATGCACCCTGGCAGGGAGGGGTATATGAACGCCTTCAACGCCAACGCCTCATTCAGTCGGTCAAACTCACTGCATATGTCTCTGGGGAAAGTCATACCGTCGCGAGAATAACTAAGCACCTTGATCATAGAAGTCGAAGGAATACTAAATACTAGGCCTTCTTTGTGTGTGGAATCGGAATCGGATACTGATCTAGTGCTACGACCGAGATATTTCTTACAAAATGAATTTGAGGCACCAATGTCGCTGGGAGCGACAGAGTACGACAGTTCAGATCCAATGTACGTGACTCCAGCGGATTGCGTCGCTCTCCAGACAAAAAACCGCGCGCTTCAGGCTTCGAGAAGTTCATGCCAAATGACTGAAAAATTTTTGGCGAATTTGGCAGTCGCAGCGCATAACATCGCTGCGAGAAAAACACCAGAGGGAAATAGGGAAAAAACGCGGATCCCGCTTAACACCTGAAACGGGACAAATTGTGTTGATCAATGATGCTCTGCAACCGCATTACCACTGGGAAATAGGCCGCATTTTAGATCTCATAAAAATGAGGAAGGGATCGCAAGAGAAGCGGTAGTATAGCTTTCTTCACATTGAAAGATTAAGAGGTCCGTGAATCTGCTCAGCCTCTTGAACTAGATGATGACGATGATTTTCCAGAGATGCGGACGTCGACTTTACTTCAAGATTCCGAAAAGACACTGGACATGAAAGAGAGTAGCCACATGAGGACCCAAACGGAAGAACAAAGAAATCTGCGTTAGAACCTAAGACCACGAAAAAAGTGGATTACCGAGAGCATGAGCGTTAACGGAAATGAGAGCAAATTCAATTTCACTGGTTTTGAGCATTAGCTTAGCCTGGTAGGAATCCGCTCAAGTGTCAATAACGTGGAACAGTCGCGATATGGAAGGCATATCCGTTGTGCTCAAGGAGGGGTGGAACTTACGGCAATCGAACACCGTACGTAGTTTGCGCAGAAAATTACTGTGCACACTATGCGTTGCCAGATGCAGTAGAGCTAGTGCGATTTCCACCCCAGATAACACTTCATGAACATGACGTACAGTGGAAATTTTTAGAGAATTTCTAGTTGGTATCAACTGAAACAACGTGTCTCCCAGCACCTTTTTGTGACAATATGGACAGTACATTCTGCTCCGCTTTAATATTCAATCCAGAATGCTGGCCGGTAGGAGCTATCGGAGTGACCGCGTTGCTACTATACTTCGTTATTACAGGCTGCTATGTTTTTCTATATGTCCCGCTGATTGTAGGGAAACCGGTTCGCGTTCTGCTGACCAGTCTGCACTACGCTTTTGGATGGATTTCCAGGATGGCATGGCGTGCACTTTGTCGCTTTCGCCGTAGACGGACAACGGACTTACTCAAATTGCTGGCAATAGCCTTAGGACTAGCATCACTGACGGGCAAGGTCGATGGGTGTCAAGAAATTAACTTTTTTTTCCATCATGACACTGTCTGCAGCAGCTCCGAAGACAAACAGCTGTGCAAAGTCCAACTATCGTAATTACTTAAGATCAGTTCCTTCGAGCGTGAAGCATGCTTCAAACTGATGAAAAATCCTACTACCATACATGAATTACGAGTTTTCTGGAGAACACCTATTCTCACATGCGAATCTGAAACAGACTACTTCACACGAGATAAGGAAGTATCGCGTATTGGATAGCAAACGCTGCGCGCACATGGGATCCCGCAATGGGGAAATGTGAAGACATCAATGGATCTAGCTTAAGTATCTAGTAACTGTCTCCAACAGAATTTACGGGATTTTTAATTGTAACAGATGGAAGGAGGCTGTAAAAGAAGGAAGGAAACTGCTCTGTGGGAGAGTTTAGTGCAACGTTATACTGTCACAATTGGTGTGCAGCGGAAGGGCTTTGGTGGGAAGTGAGGGAGGAATGCGCATGTTACCCAGCCGAAACAAAGGTCAACTGTAAATGCAAAGGCGTTGACATCGCGCCCTGGTTCAGGAATCTCCAGCACCGCTTTCCTGTAGTAAGTCCAGCGCTAACGTTCCGACGAAATCATGAACTGATGCAAGCGAGTATTTCGACAACGGTTATGGCAGATGGTGATTACCATCCAAGACGAGTTCGAAACAAGTCTCCTGGTGGATGAAGCGATCTGCACAGGAAAGGAGCACAAGCTCTAGTGTCCTGCAAATCATCTCGGTTGGCACAGGCTGAAATCGTATGCAATGATTCGAGTTTTGTCATCAGTTGCGATAAAAAGGGATCCTAGTCAGTGTTACGATTCACTTTCACAAAGGCACGTATAAGAGTTATGGGCTCAGTCCCCTGCGGTGAGACACCATCAACATTCGAGACAGCGGGAATCCTCAAATTCATGCATTCGATAGAGGGTAGGATTAACCTATGGATTGATGGACATACGAACAGTTTCCAGGTATTCGAATGGCCGGACGTGTTTCATATCGTTGTTTCTATTCAATGGTACAAAACGTTGCTCCTAGCTATCATCGGTCTCGTAGCAGTGGTAGCTGCAAGTTACCTGCTTTTTGCAGCTTATGGACTGTAGCTAATCAGGGCTTCAAGGCAATTTTTCAGCTGTTTTTTCGTGTTTGCTTTCGCGTCCCCTGCACTTTCTCAAATAGGCTTCGCACGATGCATAAGCTTTTATGAGCAACACTTCTACTGCTTATGCACAATCGCTTGTTATAGAATAGAATTTCGCTTCGCGTGGTCCAAAAATACGCCAAAAAATGAGAGCTTCGACCGAGCATACTGCATTTACAGGATCGTTTTCCAGGATGGCTGCAGAGAACGTAGGCGACGACACTAAGTACTGGTCCAGCTTATGGTCAAGCAGCATTGTAAATGGGAGGTATCAGAGGCTGTCTGGATGCAATTTCCGAGGCTTTTCAACAACAAGCCAGTATTGCGGCGATGATCCAGTTGCAGTGGAGCTCTACCCACACAGAAAAAAGCTTTGTGTTGAGGAACCCGGCTCACAAGATCCCGACTGTGGCGAAAGTTATGAAGGACATGATCGATGAAAAAATGATGATGATGATTGATGAAAGGTTTTCGCGTATGGGAGTTCGCTTTGTGTGCAGCCTCCGCTTCTTCTTCTTCTTCTTCCTAGCTTTGTTCCCGCATGTCCGCAGGGTCAGCTGCTTTGATCTTGCGCCGCCATAACAGTCTGTCTTCGGTGTCTCTGGGCCTGAGTTGCAGCGAGGCCATATCTTTCTCGATTCTGTCCATCCAACGAGTCTTTGGTCTACCTCTCGGCCTGCATCCTTCAACCTGCATATCGAAGGCACGTTTGGCCACGGATCCTGAATTGCTACGCATCACATGACCAAACCATCGTAAGCGGCTTTCTCTCATTTTATCTTGAATTGGAGCTACACCCATGGCACTTCTTACTTCTTCGTTCGTTCTCTTTTGTAGTCTAGAGATCCCCAGCGACCACCGTAGCATCTTCATCTCCATCACGTGAAGCTGCTGTTCGTGCTTTCCGGTTGAGGGCCAGCACTCGCAGCCGTACATCGCCACCGGTCTCACTACAGAGCGATAGACCTTCGATTTCAGACTCCTTGGCATTTTCTTGTCACACAGGAATTGCAGCCTCCGCTTCTACAAGGACTAAATATTCATCGATAAACCAAAGAAACCCAAGGAGGAATGGGAGAGCGAGGCAGAGACAGCTCTTCTACAGCTTGGTAAGAATGTGAGACGATTCAGTGCTGACATCAAGGAAATGGAGCGGGGGATGGAGCAGGCAGAGAAGAACTTCAACGTAGGATCCTGCCACACAAACGCTCAACACATAAACACCTTACTCCGCCGAGCCTTCGACAATTTGACCGCAATGGATAAGTGCAGTGCTGAGAAACGTTTCGAGACTCTTCAGCAAAAACTAGACGAACAGAGTGAAGTGAAGAACGATATCGCGTCTGAAGAAAGCGCTAGAGCCGAAGCAGAATACGGCGGAAGACGTGGAAATGACGGATGATGCCTACTGGTCGCTCTTGTTCGAAGAAGTTTACGATGTCGACGAAGCGAACAAGGTCCAGACTTCTCACCGGAACTCGCGTCCGAAGGCCCAGACGAGGAGGAAGAACTGGATTTCCGGTCAGCGGCTGGTGATGAGGAAGAGGCCATGAACATAGAAGATCAACTGAAAGTGGTGTGTGACGAAAAAGGGGAACGCGTAGTCGAAAGAGTTCAAGCTGATCGTGTAGTGGAGTGCGTATCAGGAGACCGTCACGAAGAACATCGTTGGGCTCCACGACGGGATGAGAGAGAGCTGAAGAGGCTGATACAGGAAGTACAAAAGAAGATCGAACACGTGGAACGAGCTCTGAAAACATTCCCATACAGAAAGAAGGAGACGTCCCAGAAAGAAGACGACCAAGTGCTGGTTCTGTAATGTCGTTGGAAGGCATTTCTCGGACTCGTGCCCGACAGTCACTGACGGGCAGGAGAGATGGGATTCATGCTGGAAAAGTATTTTTGTCCATACTGCCTGGACCGATGTGGAATGTTTGACCTCCCCTCCGACAAAAAGAAACAATGTTTTTATTGTGAGCGCGTGAAAGGCCACACCGTTCGAGTTCGTGATTCCGAGTGAACATCATCATACGGCTCTGTGTAGAGTCCCAGACAGAAGAGGAAGGGCCCGTTCGCGTATCGAGGAGGACCAGGGAGGAACTTCGTCAGCTGCTGGGAGAGTTGGCGTTGGCTAAGGTGCTGCGCAGACGTGAGCAGGAAAAACGATAGGAGGAGGAGAATCTAAGTGGAAGCAGGAGAGGAAGTGACAGTGAGGGCAAACTCGAAAGGACGTGAGGAAAGCTGGAAGGCTACATTGGACTGAGATCAAATCCTGAATTGATATGATTGATTGATGCTGATTTGTTGATTTTTCCTTTTCTATTGTCGGCCGGAGTGAAGGAAACAGTTTAAAATTACGCACTTCTTTTGTCATTTTTACTCAATCACTCACTCGTCATTCGTACGCTTATGCTTATTAATCCACTTATGATCCATTTATGCTTATGCTTGCTTGCTTGAATTGGATGGGATTCAAGCAGAGTTGTTGAAAGAGGGTGGTGGAACGATGATCGAAGCATTAACTAACTTGTTCAACCGGTGCTGGAGTCAAGAAGAAGTCCCAGAGGATTGGAGAAAAGGAGTCATTGTGAGACTGCCTAAAAAAGGAAATTTGTCCGAATGTGGAAACTGGAGAGGCATCACGTTGCTTCCAGTACCTGGGAAAACATTCTGCTCGATTGATTTGCTTGTGCATCAGCGCCGAAGAATCGAAAGTAATGATTATTGGCTCCGATAATGCGCAAACGGTCATCAATGTTGATGCAAAACCGTTAGAGACTGTGAACAAATTCACTTATCTTGTAATTGCTCATGATGAGTGACAAGATTAGGCAAAAGAATGCCAAGTTAATTCTTGTGTGGGAAACGCGGAAGGCACCATGTGTGGCAAGAAACCATGGCGAAAATTGGGCTGAGTTTTCCCTGAAGGTGACGTCTAGCCCACTGGGTCAGGTTCGCCTTACTTGCTATGCATTGCTGTTTGCCCTTCTTTCTTTCGGTCATTTCATTCTACTGGTAGTGGTAGTGCTTCGCGAAGAGAAAAGTTGTAAGGATAAGTGAAGCACGAATAAGAAAAACAAACAAATTGCTCGAACATATCAAGCAAAGTGAACCTTATTCAAGTCTGCATTTTTATGCTGAAATCAGCTCAATTTTTGTTTGATTTCCTTCCACACACGATGCGTTCCACATTTTCCACTCAAGAATGAACTTGGGATTCTATAACACGCACTAAACATTGAATGAACAACACACAACATCCGTTGAGAGATTAAGTTTCAAAGAAGATTCGATGGCAGAGCACGGCTTCATAAAAAAGGATGTTTCTTCTGTGACACGGCCTTTGTTTCTACCGAAAAGCAAGGGGAGATCCTTGGAGCTCTTCTCAACTCCATATCATGTAAAATCCCTGAAAAAATTCTCGAGCTCGGCGTGAATTTGGTCAAAATCTTGTGTGATTGCCTATTTTAACAGTTTTTGCGACGATCTGACCTTTTCAAAAGTCAGCCAGCAATTTCCATTACACTGTCCCCTTAAGACCAGGGCCAACTGTCACGTTCGCACATTTTCGGGATTTTCTCGACCCCTCCCTCTCGAGAGGGTCCAGTTGCGACCCCCTGTTGTTCTTGTTAAGAGGGCTCTCAAGTTTGGAAGTGCTGTATATTCCGCATTCGTATTTGCAAGTTTTTGTAGCGGTTGGGGAGGGACTATCCTGAAAAAAGATTAGTGAGTGAAAATGATTTACTGGAAAGCAAAAAGCAAAAGCAAAAGCTGTAGAAAGCAGTCACACCTAAAAAACAAAACGCACTGGAGATATAAACCCTTATATCCTTCTATTTTATAAAGCGCTAACTTTGTGTGTCGGTTTGTATGTCTGTATGTGTGTATGTATGTATGTATGTGTGTCCGTCCGCAAAATGAAGTGAGTGAGAAGGAAGCTCATGGGATAAACAAACCGCTAACAAATCGGGTAGCTACAGGATTTGAGCTATCAATGTTTTGTAGCAGGATGATTGTGATAACCCCAACGGCTATATAAACACCGCACTTAGCACACTTTCGGTCATTCCACAAGGTGATGCTGTGGTAGCCGGCGAGCAGAGGAGAACGAGGGGTGAGTAAGGCTGCTTTCATAGTCCGCGGTCCGTGCGGTCCGTGCGGTCCGCGCCGTCCGTGCGGACCGCTCGGACAGGGTGAAAAACGTCAACACGCGCTCTGGCGCACAATTGCGTACTTGGCACGCAGTCGGCGCCTCCCTCGATCGATACCTCGATTTCGGTGCATTTCGTGCATTTTTCAATGTTTGTGAATATGTGGTGCGTTCATTCATGTTTTTTAGTTGAGACTTCTTCATTCTTGCCTTAGTCGATATGTTTCGGTAAGTCGGTAAGTTAATCAGTGCGCTTTGCTGATTGTTCAAATGAACTATCTTTCTAGAGCTCGCTTTTTCGCTGATAACGTCTGCGCGTGCCGCAGGGTAAGGGAACTGAGTGATTTCTCATCAATATCGCATCACATATTCACAAACATTGAAAAATGCACCGAAATCGAGTTATCGATCGAGGGAGGCGCCGACTGCGTGCTAAGTACGCAATTGTGCGCCAGAGCGCGTGTTGACGTTTTTCACCCTGTCCGAGCGGTCCGCACGGACGGCGCGGACGGCACGGACCGCACGGACCGCAGACTATGAAAGCAGCCTAAGGAGAGGAGGGAGAAGGGAAAGCTTACGCAAGGTAGGGAGGTTCCGGCGCTTGCCGGGGGACCAATCTGGTACATAAATAAATGGTTCATGACGTATGATAGAAAGTTTAGTGGTTGGTACGATAGAGGGTCCCACTAATAATGGGAATAATTCTCGAAATGAGTTTTTGACTGGGATATGGGACGAGGGTATGGGACGACGAGAACCGTTCATTCAGTATTCTTTCGTGATTCTCCCATGTTTTCAAATTTTCTGAGTCTCACCTTTTGAGATTCAAACTTACATCGTGTGTACGGTAAGAATGGAAGCTTGAAGGAGTAACTCTCACGGAAAGTTCAGTGACATCTTCTTAATGAGTCCCTTTGTTCCAAATTGATTCACGTGAGCAGTGTTTGGTAAACAGCCCTTTTGAGGTCAGTGTTCAGTCTCACTGCAAGAAAGATTGCAAAATATTTTCCATGGTAAAGGACCACTTCAGGGAAATGTGAAACCGAAGTGTGGCCGTGCGTCAGCCTTGTGCACAAATTGCCCCGAGAAGGAAACAAGCGAAGATTGTTGCTTCATTTTCAGCTGATAGTGATTGAGTGGGCAGCCACTTTGTATTTTC